CATAAACGTATACTACGAAAACATATTTACTTCAACAGTAAAATATATAAATAGGGACACCCAAGGGGGGGGGGGTTGTAACCCCCAAAACCCCCCCCCCTTGGCTACGCCACTGCAACACAAACCGAGCGTCCAACATGTTGTTGTCTGTCCAGCCTGGAGCGGTATCCTCATCTATTGAGGTGTGTTTTCTGTCCAAAGTATTGTTTGTTTGCGGTTGATTGTCTTTATTTGTTTTTTAGCATGTACTTACTGTAGTGAATACAAGAGATGTCTTTCAATGGCGATAAATGTTTCTGGACAGACATCGAATTGTATAGAGAGCAGCGCCTCTAGTGGGATATTAAAAGTAAAAGTTACTGTAATAACAAATTCGCAAAGTGTGTTATGGTGCCTTGATAGAGAAAGCAAAAGAAGTGTTTCCTGAATGAAATGAGAAATTAGCTAAAATCAAATCATTGAGATATTAATTTTGTAGGAAGATTAAAAAAATTACAGAACTCAAAAACTAAAATGGAAAGTGTAAAGGATGAGGCATATGAACCTTCCTTGTGATATTATAATACTTTACTTTATAATTTAATTTATCAAGCAGGCTGGATCTGCAGTTCGACCGTGTATGCACACCTCCCAACCTCCAACCTGATACCCAACCCAACCGCTCGGCCAATAAGTTTGACCATGTATGGGTAGCTTTGCATTAAATTAGATTTCTAGACTACAATCCTGGGTGTGTATTTCAAGACGGAGTTAAGGATGAGTTTGTTGGATGAATGAGATTAAATATGTTACTGACTAAGATCAGCTGGTCCTTTAGAAAAAATCATTTTTAAGATCCCAATGATCAACAACAGCTGGGTCGGGGTCCAGTTTTGAACCATCAAAGCTTCTGACTCTTCTCAGGATCGAACTGGCAACCTTTTGATTGCTAGCTCTACATCCAATCCACTCAACTATCCAGCTACAAAATCTCTTTCAATTCTTCATAATTCCTAAGTTCAATTACGCATGATCTCAGATTAAAGATTTTCCACTACTCTTTAATCAGCTCAATGTACTTTCGAGTACATTGTATTTAACCAGTTACGTTCATGTATTGGTTCTATGATACAAAGGAGGACTCCAAATGTTGTTTCAAGTTGCTATTAAGTGTTGTATTTATTCGTGACATAACAGTAGCACACACACACTTTTTAAAATACAATGTTATTGTGCTTTAACATTTAGATTGGTTTCTTAACCTTCCTGGCTAGTTGCTTTTTATCAGACATTGTGCCTAGGGTCAGCTCTATTGACTATACAGGGTGATTGGTACCGGTACTCAGTTTTACAAATTTTTTTTGGTGTAAGTACAAAGTAAATGCATTATGATGATGCATATAAAATGTTCCAAGTCTAAAACAAAAACAAAATTAGCTTCCCAAAGAATTATTTTATGTTTTTCAATTTAATTAATTATAATTAATAAATTAATCAATTAATAAATTAATTACATTACAGCAGGCTACGCCACTGCTGTACAGCTAACTAGGACGCTGAATATACTTCAAGCAATCTAGGATAGGTTACGGTAGGTTAATTGTTACCTAAACGCCCGTATGAACCTCGTTCGCTACCCTAACCCCACGCAAATGCGCTTGAAACAACAAAAAGGTTAAGGGTAGATAGCCTGCACAGCTAACTAGGTTGCTGAATATACTTCAGCAATCTAGGATAGGTTACGGTAGGTTAATCGTTACCTAAACGCCCGTATGCACCTCGTTCGCTACCCTAACCCCACGCAAATGTGCTCGAAACAACAAAAAGGTTAAAGGGTAGATAGCCTGCACAGTTAACTATAATCAACGGCTAACTATAAACTATTATTTCTGTAGTAGATTCGGCATGAACTTCGATAGTTACCGATACCAATACAATCGATAATTTGGATCAGACCCAAAATAATAACAAAACATCGAGCAAATCACCGTCTTGTGCGGCAAATAGGCTATGTCGTTGGTAAATCGTTAACACCTTATAGTTAATTGTGTTTTGTAACTCTCTCTAGGTTTTAATTCAATACCAGAAATTCGTTAAGCATACATTATAGGGTAGTAGGCTATAGAATGGCGTACACTGCCCAAAGGATGCTGCTTGTACTTCAGCAAAAGGAGAGGTGTTTGGAAGGCAACATTTAGTTTATATGACGTTATATTACACAAGTTAAGGCTATCATCACCCTCAAATTATATAGTTCTTCAATAACAACTAGGCTAAGGCTTAACCTATTAAATCACTCCTTACCCGCGATACAAGAGGGTTTAGGTAATTGATTAGCGTATTCCGCCCAAAGGAGGCTGCTTGTACTTCAGCGAAAGGAGGGATATTGGAAGGTGACACAGAGGCTATGTAATATAAGATGTGTAGGTAGAAATCCTTTAAAATACTCAATTGGCCTTACTAAGCTTTTGCTTTCCTCAACAGCCTAATGTATGCTAACACGTTTGGACTTTATATATAGCTAGTCGGCAAAATTTCTTTAACTTCAAAACTAATTATTTCACAATTTAAAATCTAAATTAAATTGCAAAAATATCAATTAATCACTGATCAAAATCGAAAACTTCGTTTATCTGGAACAAATGATCGCAAATCAATTATTCAACAACGATCGTAAATGTTCAAACGAAAGACAACTAATTTCCCTGAATCATAAAATGATGTCAAGTAGGCACTATACCTTAGAGAGAGATGTGTTGAACGGGTCACGAAATGGCACAGACTGTCCGGCGCCGCCCGGTCCCAGTGGTTTTGTTGCACGTCTGGGCCGGTCATGCGCAGAAACCAGTTTTGGCAGTCTGACTTGGCCTCGGCGGCGGCTACATCAGTGCTCGCGCTAACCACTTGAGGCTCGCCTCACCATGCTTAACCTCAAAATCTTAGGTCGTTCGTACTACCTGGCTGATTCTCAATTAAAACCATTTTTGTCTTGCGATCTCATTCGTAACACAATAAAAAAAAGGCGAGGAGTAAAAAATCAACCCATACAATGTATAACCAATTGGCTTCAAGAATAAAATAATTTATAATATTATAGCTTTTGTAGTAAGACTAGTGTTTGTCAGGCCTTTTAGTTTGTGAGTCATGTGGTCATGGAGAATAATTAACTACTCCCAAATCAATGTAGATGTAGCTTTACAATCTGAGTATAACAAAATGATAGTCTCTCAACAAAATAAGAATCCTTCTAAAATATAGTAATAAAATGAATAAAATGGGTAGATCTTACGGAATTCAGTAGTCCACATGGGGCTGAATTGGCACAGCTAATAAAGCTTATGTTTCCACCAACAACTTGGAACCCGTCTGAAAAACTTACCAAAAAGATTTAATTCTAGGGATGTATCGGTTCCAAAAGTCGGTTCTCGGTTCCACCGGTTCTTAGCAAAGGAACCGGAACCGAGGGTCGATGCCAAAATGTCGATTCCTCGGTCCCGGTTCCTGGATCTGATCGTTCTAATTAATTTGCATCACCATTACATTTTAAATTACTACTGTTCAATACCATTTATATTAAATAGTGAATATAAAATTTAAGAGCAAATATTATTATAATTATAATTGTTTTTGTGTAGGTATTGTGCAATTCCATATGAATTATTCAATCAATTTACGTAAGTCAACAGATCAAACAGCTGAAGATAAGCCGTAAAGCCGACGCCGACAGCTGATTGAATCGACTATGCATCAGCACTCAACAAATAGGAAGGAACAAATAAAAAAACAATATTGATCTATTTATTTACCACAACCTCCTACTCCTTCCTTATTATCTTTTTAAAACTGTTGTTTGACTTTTACATAATTGATGCGAAGTATCAGGTAAAGAATAAGTTACGTCATGTGCAGCCGTCTGCAGCAAATTGAAAAAAGGAATGCAATATTGCAATGGAGGATAGTTCATACAGGTAAGTGGCAAGCATTACTCTCAATCAATATGAAATAAAAGTCAATATAATTTTTATTATTTATTGTAAAAACTGTTCACACACTTTTATTTCATCTATGACTGTTAACATATCGTAAAGCCATTCTTAATTGTGTGAGATTCAATAGGTGGTGGAAAGAGCTTAAAACAGAGAGAGTTTTGGTTTGGTTGTTATTGTTTTTATAATGAACACATTCAACCATTTTGAAAATATTATAAAAACAATAACAATCAAATCAAAACAAATAACAAATATACTAATTTGACAGTTACAATCAAGAATCAAGTGATCTTTTGTTTGCAATCCGAGTGACGTCAGAATATGACGGGAATTAGCACACCTATGTATTTTCCTTCCACCATGATTCTAGGTCCCTTTCTCTGTGTTGCGTTTGCGTATGCACGGGTAGAGGAGCCGGTCTGTGTGCATTGTGCAATGTTAAATCTCCTTCAGTGTTTGGTGATCAGAGTTGAGGTTATACCTACCTATTAAGATGTCTTCCGTTGTTTGGTCTTACTTCAAGATCGACGAGGTTAATAATAAGTTTGCCAAGTGCAATATTTGCTCAAAATTAATTTCAAGAGGCGGGTGCATGACAAACTCTAAAAGCACTTCAAACTTGATGAAGCACCTAAGAACTCATAAAATTAATCTTGCTCCTGAGCCCAGCTCTAAAAAGGAGAGTATTGGTCAAGCTAAAACTCTTGATGGATTTCTGCAGAAGTCAGGTAAGCCTATGATGCCTATGCCTTGTACTAGTGGTGCTTCCAGCCAAGTTATGACTTCAGAGATAAGACCTATGCCTAGTAGTACTTCAAGCCAGTCTCAATTTAGTGTTACTTTGGATATCGAACATGACCTAAATAAGGTAAGGCCTAGGCCTACATGCCAAGATGATACAAGTAGGCCTATTTCTTCTAATTCCGACCAATCAGAGGGTTCATTTGTAGGATTACTAACTGTGAGTAGGCCATCTTCAAGCACACCTTTGAGGCTTGATGTTGATACACCTACACATGGAGATCCTTTAGGCCTAGGCCTACATCAGTCACAATTTTCACCAATTGAAGATGTAGATGACCCTGATCCATTACAGGAAATGGAAGAAAATCTGTCCTCATCGACAACATCACCCAGGGGTGCTAGGCCTAGTTATCCTAAACGGATAAAACTAAAAAGGTCGAAGCAAATCACCTTACCAACTATGGCTGACAGGATGCAAAAATTCAAAACAACCGACAGCAGAGCGTTACACATAAATAAATTGGTTGCAGAAATGATTTGTTTAGACATTCAACCTTTATCTGTGGTGGAAAATAAAGGTTTTCGACGTCTTTTAAATTACTTGGAACCTAGATATACAATTCCTACGAGGAAAACGTTTACTAATAAAATACTTGTTGAAATGTACGAAGAAACAATGAAGAAAGTGCAGGCCGAGATGATGGAGGTAGAAAGTGTGGCTATTACTACCGACATGTGGACAAATGTCGCTCAAGTAGATTTTATGGCCATTACTGCCCATTTTTTTTCTAACAACGCCAGATTTCATAGGTGTTTAGAGGTTGTGCCTTTTCCAGAAGTAAGCCATACTGGAACCAATTTACTGACCTTTTTAATAAAGGTTTTGGATCAATGGAGTATCAAGCAAAAGGTAGTTGCTGTGGTTAGGGACAATGGTCCCGATATTACGTGTGCACTGAATTTGTCCGAGTTCACAGCAATCCCCTGTGTGGCACACACACTTCAATTAGTGATCAAAGATGGTTTCTTTAACAATGCCAGGATTTCTAATGTTGTGACCAAATGCAAGAAAATTGTTGGTAGCTTTAAGCATTCTGCGAAAAACACTAAGTTACTGAAAAGTTACCAGGCTCAGTTAGGTGTCCCAAGTCACAAACTCATTCAAGACGAACCAACTAGATGGAATAGCACTTTTTACATGCTAAAACGCTTGCATGAACAGAAGCAAGCTCTAATTCTTGTTGGGAGCAATCCTGAGACTAAGCTGTCCACTGAAATTACCAATGAAGATTGGAAAACTATTGAGTATGCAGTCGACATCTTGGAAATTTTTGAGAATGCAACCTTGCAGCTTAGTAAGGAAACATCGACAATTTCTGAGGTAGGCCTAAGTTATATTACACTTTTTCCTTTATACACTAACCCACCTTAAATATTTTCAAAAAATAAATAGGGCCTAATTGTTGGACTAATCAGAAGTAAATTTATCCTTAGGCCTATTTCATTTTCAAAGCTCAAGTAGGCAGGCCTATCAGTATGAAACCTATCCACTCAACTTATGAGTGTGTTCTGTTGAAAACTACGATAAGTCAAGGTACCTAACCTGACCTAGACCTAACATTTCTTAACCATGACCACAAATGTCCCTTAGTCTCTGTTTTTAATTTGATTTATAGGGCTAACACAAAGAACTTCATTAACAAGAAAATATAGGTACAGTATTGGCTTTCTTATTTGAGTTTGAATCATTTTACCATTTGCAAAGAAATAATTAAGTTTTACTATATTATATCCCTAAACTGACTAGCTACCGGTAGCTTTAAATTTAAATGAGTTAGGCCTATGATAAAAAAAGATTGATGGCAGGGTAAAAAAAATATCTTGTGCATTTTACTTACCACATCTGTAAGTACTGGTAGGCCTGAAAATATTTCGCTAAATATCGTCCATGTTTCTTTATTATAGACACTGTTTGTAGTTATAGCCTACCATATAACATTAACAGAGGAACAACTTTTTTCTAAGATGTTGGATTTGGGGACTAAATAATAGATAAACATAAAGTTTTCATCTTTTTTTAATTCAGCGTTTAAGTAAAATAGGCTAGGTTTAAATTTACTGTAGGCTACCTGAAAAGTTCAATGTTGACCATGTTTTAATTAAATGGATGTAAAAAATATTTTTTTATTATGGTTTGAATGTAGCCTATGAAACATTTTCTTCATTCTTCTCAGATTATACCAATGATACACACAATTCAACATGTATTGGAAACTCGTGCACCTCAGGGATCAGGACTACAAGGTCTGAAAAATGACTTATTAGCTTCATTGAAGAGAAGATTTATGGACATGGAGGAAAATCGAACTTATGCATGTGCGACACTACTTGATCCCAGGTATAACACATTTTGTTAGTTACACAAGTGTTAAGTTACCTACTGAATTCTTTTTTACTTAGGCCTAAGTTTAGTTCATATATAACTGATCAAATCTAAAAATTAAAAACTCTGACAAGTGAAAACTAATTTGATTAAAGTATTATATAAACTTAATTATGGTGTTGTTCCTTGACATATTAATAGACTTAAATGTTTCATTCCTTATTCGTTCTTAAAACATTCGTTTTGATTGTCCCAATCCTCCCCTATTTTTAATCAGCATACCATTACTAGACCTAAAATGTTCGTTAATCATATTAAATGCCATAAAAAATAAATTATAATGAATACCAATTTAAAAAAATAAATTTAGGCTATTGTGAGCAACCTAGTAAAAAATTCTAACCTTATATCAAAACATTTGGGAAAGAGAATAAATACAGATTATGTGTCATTAACAGGTTCAAGTCAACACCGTTCAAAAAGAAAGATAATTTTGAAATGGCAAAGATTCATGTCCTGGAGGAAATGAAGACATTTTCAACTCCGACGTCGGAAGCAGCACCACCACCGGCTCCACAAGAAGATACCCAACTGAAAAGGAAAGGTTTTTGGGCACAGTACATGGAAGCGTTTGGCCAGGAAGAACATACTGGTGATGGAGATCAGGAAAAGTCCTTGGAATCAGAAGTCAACGCTTATTTGAATGAAAAAACTTTTGACCCTAAACAGGGCCAAAAAATCGCCGAGTATTGGTCAGTAAGCTCCCACAAACATCTGCGTAAGTTGGCGTACAAATATTTGTGCATGCCACCTTGCACAACTTTCAGTGAAAGGCTTTTTAGTGTTGCGGGAAACATTTCGGACACAAAACGAAACAGGTTAGATCCTGACAGAGTAAAAATGTTGGTATTTTTGAACCGAAACCTAGAATAAATCATTCTTGTTATGGACGGTTTGAAAAAAAATAGGCCTAACATGGTTATGCATTTTATTTGATTACAAATCAAATCTGTGCTATGATTACAAATATCACTCCTCATTTCATATTTATGTTGTTTACAATTTTTGTATTAATATTTTGCTGTTTGTAATAATTATTAATTATTATGCTTAAGGGTTTACCGTGTTTACATCTTTCAAATATAACTGTTACTTTTCACTTTTCAGCCAATATTTAAAACTGTAACATTGATTGGTCAGCGTTAATTGTTGTTCTTTTTAATTCTGCTTAATTGGTTATTGATTTGTAAAATTACCGTTTTGCAATAATTAACTTACGCTGCAATTACCAATTCTTAATGTTAATTGTTGCCGCCAATATGTACTTTTCAATTAAGGAATTAAGTCTTCAAATAATTACTGTTTACTTGTGTTTAGGTTTGAACATTGAATCCTTACGTGGTGTTTAAATAAAATATTTCTGTCAATAAAATCTGATTATTCATTTCCTTGACTTTCAATATTTTTAGGTACTGCCACTTACAACTGTTTTGTTTCGATCAATGAATTTATAGCATAAGTACTCGGGACCGAGAACCGAGAACCGATCCAGTGTAAGAACCGAACCGGAACCGAACCGAAAAAAAGTGGAACCGACACATCCCTATTTAATTCTATGCTAACGGTACTAAAAACTAAATTTTATACAATTTACAGTTTGAGCAAAAAAATATGTTCATGTTGAAAGGAAAGTATTTACACATATTTAAGTTCAAACAGTTTACATATCAGATACATACATATTGATCGAGATTCATGAAAACTACATATTTCTGAAGTGAATACAAATCTTTAAAGTTCACAAATTATATTTAATTCTATCTACTTACATTATCACGAGTTATAAAATTGTCAAAGTGCCACCCATCTCCTGACTGATTTTACTCCAATACAGTACCACGATTTTCCGGCTAGAACATCTACAATCAATGATACTACTACAACAAAACAAAACTACTTCCATCTTAACTATAGGTACATATATAAAATATAGATTTTTTTATACATACAAAACAATCGGTACAAATTCTCTTGCTACTTCCAGTAAAAAAATATATATTTTCATTTAGAAGTTACACTACAATTCATAGAAACCAAAAAATTTATTCTCTTTAAATATAATATTTATAGCTGTTATTTTAATTGATTTCATTTTCATATTTACAGTGAATTAAGTCAATTTCCTGTACTGCAAAATATTTCTAGGAAAGGAACCTAGAATTTCTTGTTTGCAAATCCAGTTTGTTATCTACAAAACGAGTTTTAACCCGCTTATCAGGCCCGGAAATTCCTGCATACCTTACTAGCCTCTTGAAATCCCTTTCTCGAATATATTCAGTTGTTGTTTGTACTTGTAAAGAGTAAGTCATGTCAGTGTGCGCGTCGTGCGTCCTGTGTCAACGTTGTCGTGTGGGTGTGAGTGTGTTGGGTCACAATGTAGCGTTTAAAGTGTCTAGCGAAGTGTCAAGTGTAAAGAATGGAATATCTCTTTCGAACACGTTCGTATACTCATTTTCTCAATCATACTACTATTATTTGGGCCCATAAATTCACAGATTCATACACAATCACTCAATCACATACAATAACTTTCTTTCGCTAATATATTTGAGACATACAATAATCACTAAATCCAAAAATAAATTTTTGAGTACAACAAAGAAGTTTATTTAACTCTAAATTTGTACTCGTTTTGTTGATAAGAAACTCAACTGATCTTTTAATAATATTTAGAACTAATATTCCATTTAACATTTCAAATGGCGTTACTACAACAAACAAGTGATTCCTTAAACATTTGTGAAATAAACCAAAATAAGTCTTGACTATTTGGATAAAATATTAAATGTTTACATCTCAATGTCCCAACTTCACTGTTTGAACAGTTTTAGGTCAATAATATGAACCTTTTTAATGAATGATTGATTATGTACATGTTCATACTGACAACTGTAATGAACCATATAATTTTGTATGGACCCCAATACTTTGCTTGCTAGTTTCTTGGAAAATTCCTTGGCCTTGTCGCTCAAGTAATGCATCTTCCAAAACACTAGTGAGTTTATCTTTAAAGGTTGTTGACGTCTCGTAGCTGAATATCTATCACGTTCCCGGTTTTTTGCAACACTTCTCTTTATGTTGTTGAAGTTGTTCTTGTTTTTTCCTTGCTCAAATCATGCGATAGTAAATCATGTAGGTTCCGCCAAGTATTTGACAAAGCATTATTTGCATTGTGATTAAACATAAGTTGAAATGCTGTGTATCCCGTTGAACTGTTCTTCGCTGTATTCAAAGACATCTGTACAGCATCTAAGTCCTGGTCCCAGTTCACCTGCTTATCATAGTAGAAACATCTTAATAGAATGGAGACATCTCGTATTATTCTTCTACTTCTGTTTCCAGCGGCGCAATAGATAGGAATTTTTCGACCTTGAATACAATTTTTGAAAAAATATGCTTTGAATTCATTTGAAGTGAAGCATTTTGTGTTGTCCGATACCAGGATCCTAGGAATTAAGAAACTTGCAAAGGTCAACTTCAATTTATTTATTATTGGTTTTGAGGTCGCTTCTCTCAGGGCAAGTAACCATACAAACCTACTAAATCCATCTACCATGACCAATATATATTTTTTGCCGGTTTTTGAGGTGGTTTTTTAAATAATGTACTCCAGTCCCCGCTATTTAAAAAACTAACATAATCCCCTTCAGAAAGGACCCTATTGTGTAAAAATGTTAATATAAGATTACTTTTTAAATTGGACATATAGCGATGAAATGAAATGTGGTTTCAATATCGACCATATTACAAAGAGAACAGAACTTATTTCCCGTTGACCAAGGTTACCATTCAAATAGAGCAGCTCTGCCCTAGCCTTAATTATCCAGGAAAAGAAGCTGACATCGGCTTTATCAGTAAGGTAGCTTCTATCACCAAGTTCAAGGCCAAGGTCGAGGCTGATCAGCTGACTGTGGTGTATGGACTTGCGTGCGCGCCCTCTGCTCTAAAATCTACATCCCCTACCTTCTCACCTAGCATTTTCCACTGTCTGCCACAATATAAGTTTTGGTTTATAATTTGTTTGGCTAGAATCAAAGGAAGTCTATTATCGGAGAAATGTAGTACTTTTAAGAGGTAATTTAAATTCGTAATCATATTATAAAAAAACAATTTTTTAACTGCACTTTCTAAATAAATCACATAGTTTGGCGTGTTATAAGGCAACCGGAAGAGTCTCTTTAAAAACTATTTTTGTGCGGATTCTAGGAATTCAGATTCGAAGCCTGCCCAGCATGTCGTGCCATTTAGGGCAAGGTTGTTAGAGTTAGTATATTATTTTGTAAATAAATGTAACTATTTTTTTGTCTCTTTGTAATAACTTTTAGATTTGTATTGATTTGTATATTTGTTTTTGTTTTAAGATTTTTTTAAGTTTTTGGACAGGGAAATAAATTCAGATAAGTTTCTCTCAGTACTGTTTTTTGGCTAGGATTGAAAGTTTATATTTCGGAATCACAGATTTAATTGGATAATATTTTTATTCTGGTGGGTTTTATATAATCCGTTTACATCTTATGAAGTAAACAAGGCAAGATTGGGTTGCATTTAAATGTGATTATTTGTAGCTGTGTACGTGTGATATTTCATGAATTAATTTATCTCTTTAAGGTGCTTAGTATGCATGTATGATGGGAAGGTGATATTGTAGATTAGAATGAAGTGAAGTAATGTTAATTTTTATATTTAATATTGCACAGAGGTACGTGGATGTGACGCCAGCTTCATTTTCAGTATTTGGAAAAAAGTGAGCGGACAAACGACTCTCAAGAATACCTAAACAGATGTATAAATAGTAACATCAGGCCTCAGGGCAACATTTGGGATTTTTGAAGTAAGTAAAAACTTTATGACATGATTAATCATTTGTACTTATGAGTCAAATTTAAAAAAAATCTAATTATTTAAATTCTTCCAGATGTTCTATACTGTCAAATATGAAACTAAATGATTTAGCTAGATGTTCTGAGAATTACGTTTGCCTAGGGGTTTTTTTTTTAAATGTACATATTACAAAGTATGTAACGTGTAATGGCACTACTAACATACGTTATTTTTGTGGAACTTTGTCCTACATAGGGTACCTATTATAAAATATGTAACATCTCATGTTACATTAAACATACGTTATTTTTGTTAACTTTTCCCTACATGGTTCAACTTAAGAAATATATTGTCATTAGATTATTGATCTTAAAAAGCTGTAAAAGTACAATTTTGAACATTAACGTAATATCAGACTAATTTTATTATTGCGTATATAATTCTTGCATTACCTAAGTCAAATGGGAAGAGGGGTTTCTGTTGTTTCAGACCTTTACTTCAGATTTTTTTTTTTTTATATAATCTTAGAGCTAACTTTCTATTTATTTTTATTTTGAACTGAACTTACTTGATATAATTGCTTTGGTATTTAAAGTTCTTGATGTCTAGCTACCAGGTAAGCTAAAAAAATGCTGCCTGTTTTGCATTGCATAATAAAAAATTTAAACTACTAGTTTTTTTTTCCAGGTGGGCTTATGGAGATATCATTGAAATAATAAATTATTTTTGCCAATTGAGTGCGGACAATGCTGAAGAAAAGCCAAATTGAAATAGTTGTTCTGTCTTGTGAGTAAGCTAGAAACCCAAACAATCAGCTTACCAGAATTCCTCTCTGCGGCCAGCTACAGAGTAAGATCTCAACCGTCACCGTCAGCAGAGGAGAGTTATGACGAAGAGGAAGAGATGTCTGATGGCGAGGTTGACTTGGGGCCTTTGGAGGTTCAATTGGAAACCATCCGTAAGTAAGAATAGAATTATTACAATAATATTATTCTTTACTCTAACAGGCTACCTATAGAGGAGTGAGCTAAGTGGTCGATGGTAATCAATTGACTCGTTCAATATTCAAGTTCATTTTTTTTTTCAATTCAAATTTTAAAATTTCGAGGACAAAAAAGTATTTATAGTACTTTTTGGTGTTTTTACAATTAAAACTCCGTATTTACCTTTGTATACAGCTCAAACTATTGTGACTTGCGTTACGGTAGTTTCGGCATTATGATGCTGTAATCACAAAGAAGATTCAGCTAAATCAGCGTCGTCACAGTAGAAACACATTACATGAACATGGACGAATATTTTACACTTAACGAAACTACAAACATTATGTAACAGGTCTGTCACATACACAGCCCAACATGACACACGGTTGACATGATCTGAACTGGATGCCTACTGGTAACAAGTGCAGTATTGGAGTGCTTGAATAAAAATTAAATAATTTTATGATGTCTCCAATATTTATTTTAGCACTGTTTTTATGTCGTTTTTTGCTTTCTACAAAAAATTCTATTAGGTATTTTAGGTGATTACCAAAGCAATTAACAATCATAGATAATTCTTTTTGGATTGAGATTAGCATAGACATAATAAAAGTAATCTAAATACTCATTTGAAAGAAATAATGCAACTCAAAAAGTTCTTTTAGATATTGTGAGTGGCGACTGTGATACTGTTT